ATTCACGAGAGAGACTGAATACAGTTATTTAAAATCATATTTTATAAGCTTTTGGTTGTCTTTTTAATTGTCTTCTTTTCAGGTCCAATTTTCTTTTTGTCTTTAGGTTGATCCTTATATTTATGAGGATTCCATTGTTGTCGTTTTTCTGCTAAATTTGTCTCATTTCTCCCGGGTAAGATGAACGTTTATCTTTTTCATTTCTAGAAGCGTTGCTTCCCAAGCTTCGTTTTGTATTTATCATTTAATTGCTATGTTGTATCTTCAAAATCCTCGTCTATTTTTAAGGCTTTGTTTGCAAATATTTTCTAAGTTTCAAGTAATGTTCGAATTGACGACCAGTTTAATCGGAGTATGGTCAAAACTAATTCTTGCTGAATTTGACTATCAAAATGTTTTGCCATCCACCTTTAATTAAAAATAAATCCAGGTCAGGGTCTTTTCATGCCATTAGGTCAGTATGATGGTTCACGGTAAGGAGTTTTTATCTACTTTTGCTGAGAGGAGAGTTTTCTCTCCATAACGTATCCAGTCGTGAACACCAATGTTAATTTTTAGCAATGAAGTCGCCACCTGCTATGAACCGAAGCGATTTTTGAACTATTTCAAAAGTTAACTCTGTTGTCATGTGCTTAGAAGGGCAGTAGAGAGCCTTTGTTGGCAAAGTACCGTTTATATCTGGTATTAACATCGATGTTGATTGAATTCCTTATGTTTTAAATGAATTCAGTTGTCAAATATTTGTGTAGTAAACTAGCACTAATTTCACATAAAAGTTAGGCTTACAGGTGAAAATCGAAAGGTGTTCGTTCTGAACATGACTTCTTCCACCTATCAATGAGGGGGGGTATTCCCTTCTTAATTGAATATGTTTAAAATAACTGTTCGTTATATGCTTGGTAACAACTTTCTCCGTAAAATGTGTTATAATTCCAGCCGATCACAGTGATTCTCCAGTCATGACACTTCAGTGAAACTAACGTACTTTACCGCATTATTTGTAACGATTACGTCATATTTTGATACTACTTGAACCATCAAAATTGTTTCCAACCGGCAAACCGGGTACCCTTCAGGTATTTTCCACAGCTGGAACAGGCTGTAACCTCGCGACTGATTTCCCGCCATTTGTGGTAGTGTGGTGCTCAATATTTCCTAGTTTTTGTGATTGAAAAACAGTACTTTTAAATATAGTTCTTCAGTTTCTTTAAATTCTTTTTTGTTAATAGCTCTGAAGAGAATCGACGCACAAAGGAAAAGTTAAAAATTTGTTGTTCAGTGTAATTTATATTGAGAGCTTGGTGCATGATTGTAAAGGTCATTGTACAATATTTTCAGGTACAATGAAGTAACGGAGGTGGGAGTTCTAATTCACAAAATCATGAGACACAACTACAAACTATTCCTTAATCTTGATGAGCCAGAATCCGAGGCTGAAGAAGAAGAAGAAAAGAAGAAGAAAGGATTCGACGATGAGGGGGATATCGGCATAATTGGAGAAGAACCCGAAGGCCCCGATGTAAAAGTGGGAGAAGAAGCTGTTGAAGAGGAAGAAGAGTGGACTGAAGAAGAAGAGGAGGAGGAAGAAGGGGAAGGAGGGGAGAAAAAGGATAAGGAAACGGGAGAAAAGGAGCCGAAAGAAAAGAAAGAAGATGAAGTGGAATTCGCGCGTGAACTGGTCCCTGTGCCCCCTCTGCCCGAAGGAGAGGCGAAGGAGGCGCCTGCCGCGGCGGAAGGCGCGGAGCCCAAAGACAAAGAGAAGAAAGAAGGAGAAGAGGCCAAAGAAGCCAAAGAAGGAGGGGCGGAGGGCGACAAAGAAGCCGCGCCCAAGGAGGGAGAAGAGGCGGAAAAAGCGGCGGCGACGGAAGGGGAGGGAGACGTGGAAGGGGAGGAGAAGCCGAAGAAGAAGAGGAGGAGGAAGAAGAAGAAGAAGGAGGAGGAGGAGGAGCGGGAGGAGGACGTGGATCCGCTGGCGGCGGCGGAGGCGCTGCTGGCGGCGCAAGCAGCCGGAGGGGACGTGGGCGACGAGGAAGAGGAGGAAGAGGAGGAGGAGCAGAAGCCGCCCTCGCTCACGGAGTCGGAGGTATTCGCTTGCGGCCGCAGTGCCCACGGGGGGGGGGTAAGCCTCTCGCGCGAGACACCTGTGCGCTGGACGATCACTGAAATGCGAGCGATGACTCGCACATTCGACTGTCGTGGAACGCACGAGTTACGACGCTCGACGTTGAGCTTACGCGTTCGCCGCAGCGCTCCTGCGGTCTGTGCCTCAATGCGCGATGCTTTCCGACGCTCTCCTAGAGAAGGTGCTGAAACTATTACACCTTCACCCAGATACTTTCAAGTCGCCTCTAAAATATATTTTGACCCAGTGAGAGCGTAGGCTTCCGCGGCCGGAGTCAGTACTTACTTGGTTATCCTGGAGACGCCGCGTCCAGGGCACAGATGCCAACGTTGTGCCAACGTTATGCAATAACTACGCCCTGTTGAAAGTCGCAGAATGGCGACCGAAAAGTTGGCGCCTGTGCCCTGGACACGGCGTCTACCGGATAGCCAAGTAAGTACATTCTTTCGGAGGGGAAGTGTGGATTCACTATTCCAGATCCTCATCTCTAAAATAAACAAAATTCAAATCGCCCGTTTCGTTCCCCAAGTGATCTTTCTCTGTTCGATGGTGAAAAGAGCATAGCGAAATTTGCGTGGTCAGACGGAAGAGCAGACCTGATGGCCTCAGCCTCGCCACTTAAAGCATCATCGAACTGAAACACAAAGGTAGAAATTCGCGAAAATATAACAAATCACATAACTAACATTCCACATAGTTTGCAAAACTTTTTTTAGTATATGTGAATTGTGACGGGAAGGCATTTTCTTTCGCAACACAAACGCAGTCCAGGGCCCTGGAACGCGGCAGGCGGAAGCGTAGGCTCGTCGGCCGAGAGATTTCTGCGCCAGCTGGCGACTCATAAAATGTCCGCGTCTAAGCATTTTGCACTGTAATTGTGATATTTAGAATATTTTAATTATTTACTCACTAATTACTCAATTATGTGTCTAAAACAAGATTAAAATTCCATTTAATTTTCAAGAGTTCTACCTCCCTTCGCAAGGATCACTTAAAATAAAGCAGTAGAGAATGAATTAAGACTTTCTTCAGTAAAATGTCATGCTTTTGTTACATGCAATCAAGATTTAGGTAAAATCGAATTTATTCATTTTCTTACTTGTATATCTAAGAACTTGGTACGGGTATATGACTCGGAAGTACACACGTCTAAGGTACATTCTATTTTATACTTGTTCATAAATACTTTATTACTTGAGATCCATGTTTAAAGTAAATCTGATTTTACATACATTTTTTCTTCTTAATTGGACTGCATCCCATCCTGAGCTCTTGTTCGGGGGATGTAGCCCGAAATCTGAAGAGTCCTTACTACTCTCTTCTATCACCTCACATTGAAAAATCATAAATGTGATACGGTAATATCCCAACGTTGTCTATGATTTATCTCTATCTCAAAAACTCCTAAAATCGATTAAGCTGTGTGTTTTTGTAAGGAGTTAACCAGTGTTATGTTTAATTTTACGTTAAATTATTTTATATTAATAAAATGTTTTGTTCAGTTTTCGTTTATTTACATTTAAAATTATGAAAATTACGCCATGCCATACTCAGAAAAATTTGAACACCGCTTCGTGATATTTGTGGAGCTGATCTACCATCAAATCAACTTTTTTATCACAATAATGGGCCATTAAGTGTAAATATCAATCTCGATCTCATTTTAATTGAAATGTACCGCAGTTTCTTCATAGACAGAATTCTAGTCCTCATTTCCACCGCACGAATCGCCCATACATTCGGGGCAAGTCACTAAGTGACTTCGGGAGTGTAACGGTTGGCGTGTTGGACTGCCATACCCAACTTCGCAGATTGAAACACGATCGAAGGAGTGGATATTTAAGGGCGAAGATAATCGTCCTACGCTTGCCTTCGGTCGGTAAATATAGTCCACTGGCTCATATGGTAGATTTACGGCAAGTAAAAGTTCAAGTATAAAAGAATCCTCTGAGCTAAATTTAAATCACCTGTTTTGTCGCCCGAGTGATACCTTCTTTCTCAGCTAGATGGCGAAAGGACTGTTAGACTGTAGAAAAATTAGCGTGATCATATGAATTAACAGGCCTGGGTAAAATAATTCATCATTGAACTGAATTGACGTCTCCCCCAAGAGGGGATTCTGATTAATGCTAGCGAATCTCCAAATCGTGATTAAGAATTGAGAACTGTTGAAGTATTTTTTTATTTCGTCTGTAAACGTTACTGTACTTTACAAAGAGTTCATTGTACGTTACAGCCGAGTAATATGAAGGGAAAGTAGTATTACATTTTTAATATCATAGATTTATTCTAACGAAAATTCTCTACCAATGCAACGTAATGCATTGAAGCATATTTCAGCAACAACGTTTGGCGGAGAGGAGAGCAATTTTTAACGAGAAATGGAAAGAGTATGAAGAATATGTGGATGGCATTGTTTCACAAGGACTTCAAAGTGCAATAAGTTGCAGGTAAATTTACATGTTTACATGTGTGTATGTTGTGATGTGTGGATGTAGTGGCTTATTTTATCACTGTTCCAAAATTTCGAGATAGTTATAAATTTAAATATTTTTCATTAACCTCCAATATATGTTGGCAATAGATGATGTTAAAGAAATAATATACAATATAGTTTTACGATGTCAGTCAACGATTATAACTATTATTAAATAACTATCAGCGTACAAACGATGAGGGAGAAAATCTCTATTAATTCGTGGTTGACTGTTTGAAAATTTATTCAAATATATTTTTACTTTTAAAACGATGATTTACAAAGTGTACAAAATAAAGAATATTCCCTTTGGTTTTTACAAGCATTTTAAAATATTAATACATACTCCTTCGGAAATCTAATTAATGTTGTCCTTACAGCTTCCAATTATTTATTGAGGAAATGGATGAAGAGACATGTCTTTTTCCTCTGTTTGAAGTAACATTCGAACTCCAAGAACCAGATATGGTTTTCATACCGTGCCTGGACATAGAAGAACCAGATGGGTTCTACGCTCTCGTAGAATCTCTTTTAAACGACATTTTGGATATGGCCAAGCTTATTCCACGAATCAAAAAGACACCCGAAGTGTTAGAGTGGTTGGAAAGACAGGCTGAATTGGAGAGGTTAAGAGTCGAAGAGGAGCAGGAAGAAGAGGAAGAGAAGGACAAGGCACCAAAAGGAGATGCTACAGGTGGGAGCTTGAAACCGCAGGCTGAGAAAGGAAAACCTCCAGAACATAAAGCGGAGGAAGCAGACACGCGAGTTAGTAGAAAGGAAAGCATTACATCAACAGAGGAGGAACACGGGGAGGAAGATGAGTTAGCAGCTTACCTCCAAGGTCTAGCAGATGCCCCTCCTCCAGACAATTACATGGTAAGTGTTCTTAAGGTCTCTGAGGAAGGCAAGGCTAGAAGCAATTTGAATTATAGTTTAAAAATGCCTTTTCTGGTCCATTGGAATCATGTTCGTTACAAGAAAGGGGCCTTGGAAATATAGTAGTTCACTTTGAACTTTTTTAGGATTAAAGAACTCTTTAAACAACTATGTGTAATTCAAATTAACACTTAATTTCAGAAATTGTTTAATTTTGCCTACGAATTTAAATTTAAACTTGTTCAAGTGGACTAATATAGTCATTATTATATCGTTTAAAGATGTTTTCAATTGTTTATGAATATTAAAACTAAAAGCAATGTGTGTAGTCGTTACTATAGATTATTCAATACAAATATTTACTTTTAAAACCCGTTTAGAAACTACTTATTCAACTTTCATCCTGGTACAGTGTCAACTAATTTTAAAAAGTGTGGTGTAGCGTGCGAATATAAAACTGATTTATGTGGTTGTCTGAATGAAGTGGATTAATTTTTTTTACTTTCTTTTAATACGGAATACTAGTATATAGAAAGTTATGTTATCCATTACAAGATTTGCACGGAACTACAAGTTTAGGGGTCCTTTTGATCCCAAACATTTTTTTAAACGTTCATCTCGGAGATTATGCGAGTTCGGGGGTTCCTGGTTGTAGGACCTGCTAGGAACACGGAATCTAACAGTTTCGAGCCCCTGGTCGAACGGATAAAAGGCTTGACGGGACTTGACAAAAATAGTAAAGGAGAATTTCTCCACGATAAACGCTCAAGAGATGCGTTGCGACAATGATGACGAAACATCTTTTAAAAAGACTAGCGTCTTAACCACTAATGTTATTTTTTCAAAATTTTTATTCTCCAATCGCTCTATCCCAACTAGTGGACCTGTAAATCGAAAAGAAATATTTTAATCTTGGGGGTACTTTACATGAAGTCCCTGGGATATTTTCAACATTTTCTGCATTTCCAACAATTTCTTGCTAGAAGAGAATACGCAAATAAAGATGGCACAGGTCCGATTATCACTCTCACCTTGGAGCCTACAACTACATTATTTTACGTGATGTCTTTTTGTGTATTAAGTTTGAGCTTCATAATTAGACCGTTAATTAATGTTCTTTGTGCGACCGTTAATTAGTTTATGAGTAATTATGTGTTACATGAGTAACATGAGTTTGTGAGTAATGAAGTCTAACATGAAAAAATATGGAAAGAAAAGTATACCCAAAACGATGTCAATTGACATGACTTCATGACATGACTTCATGACATGAGCGCCTTTCTGATTATACATTTTTTTAATTACACTAATGTATTTTTAAAATTGTCTCTCAGTAATATTTATTTTGCAGATTAATTTTATAATTTAACGCATTTTTGAATATCAATACTCCAAATTATCTTTTATGAATTTTCACAAAATCTCAAGTAGGTAAAAGAGCTCTATATTGTGAATTCATTTAGAAGCGATAAGAACAGTACTTTCTCAAAAATAGCTTCAAAGTATTTAGTGAAAATTTCCATGAAAAAAGATGTTGCTCTTCTATGATATTCTCAAAGTCTCATTTACTTTAAATTATTAGGTGACCGATATTTTCAGAAAATGTGAAAAATTGGTTTTTGATAAAACACAATTTCTTCAAAATAAATATTACAGGAAAGAAAACTAAACCGTTGTGTTACTTGAGACGTTTCGTAAATATTTTATTGCTTTCCAGTTTCTGAAAAGTTATTTAATTTTCTATTTTCATCGTGGTATTTTTTCATTTTGCTGCAATTTAGTTTTGAGATTGAAATAAGATATTTTAAAGAAACAACAGAAAGTATTTAATTTTGTGTTTTTCTTTATAGGAAGATGTGGAATCCAATGTAACCTTATGCGACGTAGCAACTGAAGTTTTATGTCGCGTGCAAGTTGCCATTGGTCAGGTACTTATCGTGTATTTTCTCACTTCAAAATGAATTATTCTCAGTAAAACTTGCATTTTAATTCTTTTAAAGGCCCATGACTATGCGAACAAATTCCAAGATCACGCATATTTGTGGTTGGATGACAGACAAGAGTTTCTTGAGCAATTCCTCAAGTATGGGCATGCTTTGAGCCCTGAAGAGGAAGAACTCGTGGGGGTCTTCTTGGAAGACGGAAGCCCAGCACTGAAGGACGTTGCACCTACGCTTCAAACATTCAAAGAGCAGGTACGAACAAGGGGAATATCAAATTCTGTAAACACTCGACACGTATCGTATAATTGAGTACATAACTCGTAGCTATGTTATTAGCATTCTCACTTCAATAGTCACAAAATAGTTGATCCACCCAAGCATTATGTAAGAAATGATCTCTCTTTTATCCGTAAATAGCTCAATAGTTTCCACGTCATGCACTTTTGGGGTTCATTTTTGTCTTATGTGTCACCTGTACCCATTTGTATTGCTGTACACCGGACTACCGCATTCACAGATCTATTGGGTCCTGGACACTCTTTCTCACTGTACTGTTGAAGCACGTAATGGTGCTCGCTGTTACATACTTCATTTATTTTCTGATGAAATGAGATGACCCTGTGTTTTTCGAGGTTTCAAAACAACTGGAGGGTAGTGGCGCAATTCTGACTTCAGATTCGGATTTAGCGCATCGACATACATAGAGAAGCACGTGTCAAGTCTTGAGTTCGACAAGTTTTGGCTTCTGTAGAGTATAATGCTACAAGACAACAAAATCTAGTATTCGCAGGTGTTTTTCGAGATTTAAAAGAAACTGGACGGTGTTAGCACGGTTCAAGCTTCCTATTGGGATTCAGCGCATCAGTATGCGTAGAGAAATATATCTCACGTGTTTAGATCTGAAAGCTTTTTTTTTTTATTCTGTGTGCCTGTTTTTACTAATATGCCACACCGGCATAGGAATGCGATTGTATGACCCTACCAATTAGTGAGGAGTAAGTGAGTCAGTCCGAATTCTCCTACCTGAAGAAACAGTTAACAGTTCACCTTTCCCCTCCTTATTTAGAGCTTCATCAGAGTTAACGCCAGTTTAGAGATTTCTGTAACAAATTTCGAAGCTCATTCCTTCATGATAAGCGCGACTTTCAATTTTCTTTCAGAGAAGGCTCAATTAATGGCGGTGGAAGGCCACTCACCTAGGGAGATATCGCGAAGAAATCTTCTCGAACTCAGGAGCAGAACGGAAGCCACGTTCTTCTCTGATATTAGTTCATCTCTACGCGCGTATTATGGCTTTAGGAAAAACTTTCTAAATGGCAAAAATCTAGAGACAAATTAATCGCCAAAGAAATTAGACATTTCAAAGGATATGATGTAATAAAATTAGATGTAGACTAGTGGCTGCATAAAATACAAGAATCATTGACTATTCCAATGAATATGGGAAAAACAAAAAATAATTAGACAAGTAGAAAGAACTGGAAGAAGAAGTATATCTAAAATAGAATCAGAGGAAATGAAACACCTGAGAACAACAGTGTTAAACTCGGCAGAGAATTGAGAGTATATAATATTGGTTACCTCGTATATAATGGAAAGGGTCAATAGTTAGAACGCATTAAAAAGACGCTGCTCGTTTGCCACAAAGGAAACATCATGGTGTGGAAATATTATTGAAAAAAAACAAAAAACAAATTGAGCCCAGAAAAAAGATTCATCACAGATGGCGACACAGTCGTAAACTGTGTTGGTGATGTTCAAGAATATGATCGTCTAAGTAATTACTAGTTCACATCTTTACTGATGAGAAAATAAGGAACTATGATTATTTTCACAGTTCAGATCCAAAACTGACATTGTTTACACACTGTTATTTATTATTTTTAAAGTACAGTGAGGCACTTTAGATACGTTAAACACTTTTTTTTGCATTTTAAGGATCTCTTACATTTTTTAAAATCATTTCAGTTTTGAATATAGAAGTTTGGAATATGATATTTTTGTTATTGATTAACTGCATTCTGCTATCCATTTTCTCCTTCAGATCGATTACTACGAGGGAATGTTTGTTACTCTTCAATCTATAGAATCAGAAAAAATTATTTGTAAATGGCTACGGATAGACGTCCGTCCTTTCAGACATGCTGTTTTGAATACTGTTTGCAAGTGGAGCAACACCCTGAAACAACATTTAATTCACGATGTTGAATACAAGTAAGCAAAAATTTTAGCAATATTAAGTAATTTTTATTAAGTGAGAAATTATCTATTATAACAATTTGAGTAATTCAAGTGTGAGATGATCATATGAGCACAGTACTCTGAGTAGTAATCATATTTTCTCCATTATCATCTTTCTTTATCGAAGAACACGGCATTTTCAAGCATGGACGTAAAATATTTTCACAATGTTGAGATTGTTATTTAGTACTTTTAAATAATCTGCAAATACATGTCAAAAAAGAGTATTTTCAATTAATATAGCTCTCATTTCTACACAATATTAATAAAGATGGCCGAATCAATGTCTTTGAGAACTATAACATTTTAATAATAGACTAACCTCAGATCCTTACATTCGTTACGAATTCCTGAATGAGAAATTTGGTTTGTCCTACCTGAACCGAATCTAACCTAACAAAGTCGTCCATGGCCTTTACTTTTATAGTACGGGGTTTTAATTGAAAACTTTTCCTAAAATTTAATTGTTCGTATTCATGCTTTTAATACCTTTTTTTACTTAATTTAATAAGCGAATAGTTTTATAATGCATTCTCATATTATTAATATTGTTAATATTATAGTTATTTTTATTATGAAATACAACTATTAAAATTACGAAATACATTTTCTTCCAATGTTTTTCATTTCCGTCAGGGTTTGAACTCTTGTCTTGATGAGTTTTTGCTCGTATGCTGACGATATTCCCTCCCTTACTAGTCTTCTTTAGGGGTAATTCAATAATAGGTACGCAATCTTTTCTAATGAAAACCTCTGTGTGAAATATTTAGTAGTACTTATTAACCTTTCACTGGCTTACACAAAATCCTTCCAATCCTTTCTGTACCTAACATGCTGAGTCAGAAAATAGAACTTTTCTAAATTTGAGTAATTGCTCGTAGCGTTCAATCGAATATATTTATGATTCACTTTAATACATCGCTAACTTGAAATAAATAAATAAATTTAATTTCAAAAATTATGTGAGCGTGTTCCCTTTTTTATCTACTTATTCCTTCCTCGCTTTCATTCCTGTCTTCAATTTGAGAAACCCCTCTTCCAAATTTCGTACGTACTTCTCATTGAATGACCTTTTCTTTAATTATTGTATTAAATTTTTTTTGAAAGTGGTTCAGACAGAAGAGCACGCTAAATAGCCTAAACCTCGCTATCAATAAATTTATTTATTTATTTGTTTATTTATTTATTTATTTATTTATTTATTTATTTATTTATTTATTTATTTATTTATTTATTATTTAATGGGCCTAGTTTAATTCCCACGCTTGGACGGTAAGATAGACATGTGGCGAATATGATGAATTCCCTTCTACCAAACTCGCCTTCTGAACTTTTGTTTGTCGCACGGTTGTAGAAACTGAGACGATTGCAAAGGAAAGTTACACCTCTATTTCTACCTCGACCGGGAATCGAACCCGGGACCACGCCATGGGAAGATAGTATGCTGCCCATGAGTCATCCTAGTAGCTTATTTGAGTATGAATAATATTGTATTCAGTGAGTCCCAGCGAGGTGGACTGTAGGGTTCATGTCAGCCAATTTGATGTTTTGATCCATGCTGATTTTAGAATTCATTTATTTCGGTAGTAGGAAATGTACCAATGTTAAAATATATTGTAGTGTCTATGAAAATTCAAGTGAAATATATATGTTCAATTCAGCTAATTCAGTATTGACAACTTGCAATACAAGAAAATAATGAAATAGCACTTCCAAATAAATTAAATGCTCCTGGGCATAGCTCTCTATTTAATTCGTATTCATTTTTTAATCGAAGTAAAAATCGATCTCAAAATTAATAAACAATGAAATAGAATCTCTCGAAAATGTTTCCGTATTATTTATCCTACACTATGATTTGTTATGTAAATACAGTAAACACAGTATTGGAAAGTTTGGAGACCGGATTTTTATATTTTTTTCTCTTTTTCTTTCTTATTTTTCTCCTCCTCCCTCTTTTCTTCCTCGTTCTTTATCTTCAAATTCTCCTACTCTTTCCCTTTCCCTTCTTCCTTCCCCTCTTGTCCACCGACGTGTCCGCGGTCTTCTGCTTCTCCGCCCTCTTCTGTGGCTCCTTGTCCTATTCATTCCAAGGAATGTTTACCCATAAACGTCATGCGGGTTGCATCAATAAGGCGGACCACGATGCAAAGTACTCAAAATTTATTATTCCGATTTGACAATTAAATTGCAGCCTCTTGTCCTTACGAATATATCAAAAAGCACTGAAAAAATTATTTCCGATCAACATTTTAGCAACAAACACACAAGCAAACAAACAAGGAATACAAAAATATCTAACAGTAACAGTAAAAGTAATAGCAAAATTGAACTATAACATTTTGTATTCGAATTGAATATGGAATTCAAGATAACAATCAACCTTATTTCCAAGTTGAACTTGTTCATCTGCTTTGTGATATCCTGTGAGAATTTCACGAGCTCAACGATCAGTCCCTTCTCGCGTTTTTCATTTAGAGGATCTCCTTGTCACGAAGTTCGAATTCTATTTTAAAATCTTCATAACTATTAATCCTGTGTCTAAATTTGTATTTGATACTATTAGGGAACCATTAATATAACTTACAAAAATAATTATCAAAACGACCAATATCTGCATAATGTTACAGATTTTAATGTGTTTAAGAGTATTTAAGAATTTTTAATTTTTCATTTTTGTTACAGGTTAACAGAGTTGAATGAATTCACAGATCATGCTAAGAAAGTACTTACTGTGGATGTAGAAACTATGAATTACGAACAGCTAATAGATGTAATTCGTGTTCTGTATCGTATCAAGGAACGTGCAGCAGAAACTGACAATATGTTTGAGCCAATTAAGAATACAATGGATATGCTGAAACAATATGGTGTCGAATTTCCACCAGAGATTTATGAACTTTTGCTAGTAAGTTGAGTTAGTTGTTATTCTTGTAAGTTCTAAAACGTTTTTGAATGTGTAAAAATAATTTTATTCATACAATTTTTTAGGATCTCCCTGACAAATGGCTGCAAACTAAGAAACTGAGTGTGGCTGCGAAACAAAACGTAGCACCATTAATGGCAACGGAAATGTCTAATATAAGAAAGAGGATACAATTGTTTGACCTAAGACAACAACAATTTAGAGAACGCTTTCGGAAGCTTCCTGTTTTTAAGTACGTTTTCAAATATTTTGTTATTTTCGCATTACTAATTTATACTGTTGTAGTTCATAACTTTAAATTTCAAATTCTTACATAGAATTAGTATAATTCTTGGGATTCTAGTTTTTCATTCTTGCTTTCTTTCCTTTTTTCATCAATAGGTATCCCTGTGCAAATCCTTACGAATATCTGGACAGAGTAAATCTTAGTTTAGTTAGCATGGAGGACGATCTTGCAAAGCTACAGGATCAAAGTCATATGTTTGACATTCAATTGCCGGAATTTAAAGCAATAAAACTCTGTCGAAAGGAAGCACGCATGCTGAAGGCTAGTATTATCCGAAAAAAAAAAACAAGAAATTTTGCGCAGCTGTTCTCTTATATGATACTTTAGCCGACCAGCGTACAAAACAACCATTTGCTGCATGCCTTAAAAGTTTGAGTGATGTGCCCCCCCCACCCGCGCCCTACCATGAAAACCGCCAGTCTGTCAGCTTTAACTTCCTCTTCGTTGTTCAACATAGTGTCGCCAAAAGCCGCTGTTCAATCGCTCGCATACGGGAGTGGATTTTGTAGGATTTGGTTTTAATTAATATTCTTTCGTCGAAGTACTCGGCATTCATTACAACACCCGTAATGAACATATGTTAACATTACAGATAGATGGCAAAGCAAAGAGTGGACAGAGTAGATTAGAAGACTTTGGTTCCGGCAACTGTTTCTTGAAGTTCTCTTTTTTGCCGCTACTGGTTCATAGCGCGTTTCCTCTTCGTGTTGGAGTTCCGGGTAAAGCGCACGTCCCTCGCCTTCGCGTTGCCGTCCTTGTGGAGCGGCCTTAGGAGTTCATTAAAAAAACTGGTGTTTTCTTTCCAATTCCTATTTGTGTCTGCTAGTATTGGGAAAAGAAGAGACCTGTAACTTAGCTAATGATTCTTGTGACCGATTCCCTTCTATTTTCAGAACGATAGATAGACGATGTGGCCAAACGTTACTGACATCATTTGATGTTTGCTCTAAAGTCGTCAGTTAAGTAACTTGCAGCGTTAAGAACCCCCTTCACTTTCTACCTACTAATCCTACTAATCTACCTACTAATCCAGTCAAAAGGTATATGACGCAGGAAAAAATTCGTAAGTTTTCTTCTCAACGGTACTACGTGTTTTTGAGGGTACTGAATTCGAATTTGATGCTTTCCACCTCAAAAATTGTTTCTTCACATAGAAAATTACAAAAAAACTAAACTTCTCTGTTTTCAGTTTTTTACGCCTATCGTCGAAACTAATCGTTCTATCGAAACAATTGTTATTTATAAAATAGTAGTAGATAAAATTTCCTACAAAATGAGTGTATTAACTTTGAATTTCTGAAAAACGGTTTAGGCGCTAGAGCGCGCTGAAAACCTGTCACATTTTGGGCCTCTTGAGAAAGCGTCTTTTTAGCCATCCTTTCTCTTGGGGGCGCACTAGTTTCACTTTCGATGTGCTTGGATACGCCAAGTTTGAGAGTGTTTATAGACCCACACAAGTCGGGCTATTTTTCAACTTCTATATTTTCTAATTGTTCTACCAATAATTATTCTCTATCCGAAATCCTCTCCCAAGTATGTAAATTCTACTTTTACTGAAATGTGCTATGATATATTTCAGTATGGTATAATGTAGAAAATGAGGTTGTTTCTCTAACCTTTCTTTTTTTATGTTATTCATTTCATTCTAAAACAATATTTTTGTTTTATTATGAGAAGATAAGCAAAAATCTGTAATATCATTGCATTTCTGTTAATAAAAAATCATCGCAGAAATAATGTTCGTAACATGCTTTCGTAACGCTTTAATTGTTTGACTTAATATAATTTTAGACATTGTGGGATTACGCAAATGTTATTGAGTCAAATATTGATGAATGGAAACAAACATTGTGGCAAGAAATCGACGTCGAGGGAATGGAAATGGAGTGCAAGAAATTTGGAAAAGAACTGAAAGGTGTGTAAAATATTCAATTTCGTCTAGTTTGTATATACTTTTTTATCATTACAGTTCAACAAATAATTATGCACATCATTCACTATTTCCAAATGAAAACAAAATCCGATTGCCCTCTTTATTTCTTTGCCTTCCTCTTTATTTCCTTTCGAGTTAGACACGCTCTGACCTTCATTAATTCTAATCCTGAATGCTATTATTTTTTTGTCATACTCGTTTACAGTTAATATACAGTAAGAGTTTCATTATTTTGTCATTCTTGTTAATTGAATTTTACTGTTTTGTATTATGTTATATTTTTGTTACTATCTGATTACCAGGCGTTGTCCGGATATTTGTTTATCACAAACGATTAAGTAGCTTCTCCCGTCCCACACGTTTCTTCCGCTCTTTCCCCTAAGCCCACTCTCGCCGCTTTGCTTTTTCGCTTCACTCCTCCTTCCGCTCCTGCCACTACTCTTCCTTTCGATCCTTCATGCATTCTGCTCCGCCCGCTCTACCAGCTCTGTCCGCTCTGCCCGTTCTGCCCGCTCTACCCGCTCTGTCCGCAACCTCTCTGAAGCTGTCTAGCCACCTATAGCGGACTATAGTACTAGTGAAGAATTTCTGGATTTCGCCGGTTAGTTCCTTTACTGTGAATTTTTTTGTCTTATAGTATAGCCTGTATATATATATAGGTACCAGTATAGCCTGTGTAAAGGTTTGCGCTTCTTTGTAAACAATTGTCTACCGTTATTAATTTTGGAGCCATTTATTCAATCGATATAAAGGAGCAGTAACAAAATAATTGTTGTATTTCTATGGTTTGCCGGTATAAAGTAATTTTACGAATTATTTAATACTTTGGTAGTGAAATACATTGTTGGAGTGAAACGTTGGCTGATTTTAAAAACAACTGGTTGGCGTAATTAATTTAAACAATCTTATATTAAATCAATGGGTATCTTGTGCAAGAACTTGTGAAGTATTTCTAGATTTCTTAGTTCCTTTACTGTGAGTTTTTTCTCGTCTATATGGTACCTGTATAGACTATGAGAATGTTTACGCTTCTTTATTAACAATTGCCTACCGTTATTAATTTTCGAGACATTTATTTAATTAATATAAAGGAGTAGTAACAAAACAATTTTAATTCTATTGTTCACGGTAATGTGTAATTTTAAGAATTTCAAAATTTTTTGCGTGATATTTTATGTACTTACGAAACGGTAGCGGATTTTAAAAACAATTGGCCGTCGTAATTAATTTAAACAATCTGTTATTAAATCAATGGGTGTCTTATGCAAGAACGTGTGAAGTATTTCTGAATTTCGCCGGTTAGTTTTTTTAGTGAGAGTTATTTAGTTTTTATTGATGGTACTTCATATAGCCTGTGTAAAGGTTTGCGCTTCTTTATAAACAATTGTATACAGTTATTAATTCTGGAACTAATTAATCAATAAATATAAAGAGATAGTAACAATATGGTGTTAGTAATTTTGGGGCTCGCCGGTAAAATGTAGTTTTAAGAATTTTTCCATAAATTTCTTACATAAATTTTGTTTTTGTGGATATTTTAATTTTTTTAAACAATTACGTTTTATAATAATGGCAAAATGGAGTAATTAAATAGTAATTAATTTATTTATTATTGTTAAATATGTCTGATATTTTCTGCTCTATTTGCTTTTGTGGCTAGCTAGCTTCAGGATGACCCTCGATAGTTGACCCTCGATATTTTTTAAATGACGGGCGTAATTAATTTAAAATTATGATAATTAATGAGTAATTAATTAGTATTAAACGATGGCATGTAGTTTTTTGTGGTCCGCTATAGGTGGCTAGCCAGCTTCAGAGAGCTCTGTCCGCACTGCCCACTCTAACCGCTCTTCCCGCCCTACCCACTCTTCCGGCTCTGACCGCCCACTGCTTGCTCGGCCCGCTCTATCGGTTCTGTCACTCTACCCGCACTGTCCACTCTACCCGCTCTGCTCGCAGTGCCCGCTCTACCCTCTTCTGTCCGCAGTAAAGCACAAAAGTATTCGTGTAAATTTGAGAGCAACCTTAATTTCAGAGCAAAATTTGAGAGTAAATTTGAGAGTGGTTAAAAGGTTTTTAAGGTGGAAGAAAGAGCTTGTTTTTAATTTTTATTTATTTTTCATAAATAGCATTTTACTTAAAATAAAACGTAAAAGCACTTCTGTAAATGCAATTGTATTAATAAAAATCTGTAAAAATTATTTCACATTATACGTATTAAAATTAATGTTACAAATATTGGATTTTATTGAAAGATGCGAGGCTTTCAATAAAATATTTAACATTTCCATCAAACGCGCCAAAAGAAATATTCAGAATGAGGCAAATGTTATTTGCAGGTCTGGATAAGGAAATGAGAACGTGGGACACGTACGTGTCGTTGGAAGATTCGTTGAAGAATTTGCTGACTTCGCTGAAGGCGGTAACTGAGTTACAGAATCCAGCTATCCGAGAGCGACATTGGCAGCAGCTGATGCAAGCCACAAAGGTTTTTTTTTTACTTTTCTCTATTGGATTTAAGTCTATGAAAATAGGAATTCTACGAGGAAGTGCTGTGGAACTAATCCGATTCATTATACTTTTGTATAATATTCGGGTTTGCCACATGATTTCAAACACCCCTATTTGCAGAAATTATAACTACACATTTCTTCAGTTTGTTTGCATCACCAGGAAACACATGTCAAACACACCCACACCACACACATACACACACACACACACACACACACACACTTCAAATTCATGACACTTCCCGGGAGCCTCGGTATTGAATCAGTTCTTTCAAAAATGCGAGGGTTGAGACATAAGTATTGGCATCTATTTATTTTTTCGTGTAAAAGCACAGGCACAGGTGGAAAATATGAAATAAAAAATTGATAGGACAAGGTATAAACTATGTTCGGGGACATTTAACGACACATCAAAATTGTGTTTCTCATATTTATTAAGGTATTTGGAATGACAGTAATGGTTTCATGTTTTAAAGCATTTTAGCATATAAGAGTTCACAACACTCCAAAAACATTTCATGCTCGTTCGAATGGCCCGAATAGGCAAATGCTCGATTTCCGCACGTGCCACATCGGTCCGAACACAGGTCGTCGCGTGTGTTCCTGATGACTGGTTGCTGCGTCTTCGCGGAATCTCTGCTGCGCATCTCTCGACTGTCCGGTGTGGAAGGGCTTTGCTTTCAAGTGCTTCCACTAATTCTCTGTAACAGTCTCGGGCATTTCTCCCGTGGACTACCATGTTTTGGACTGTGAGCGCTGCTCGAAACGTGACATTCATCTCGCACGGCGGTAGTCGGACAATTGATTTCACTGTGCCATCTTTTGAGGTGAACACGCACTACTGCAGCATTTCTTGCTACAAATGAAATTGAGCGATTTGATAACAGTTCTTTTAACGAAACTAGTAGGGCTGCAGAATGGCACAGACTTTCTCGTACTAGGTAGTTTTCTAATTTGTTTTGCCTGGTTTACAATCTTTGTTTCCTCTTACCAGCTGCTATTTACGCCCCCCAAAGTACTATTTTTCAAAATTTCCCCAATTCTTGGTTCTCCAATGATAGAACCGAAATATTGCTTTCGGAATATTAAAGAACAGTAAAACCTCGTTCTATGTAGCAATTTTCGTTGAACAATTTGGAGCCGTTTTTAAGAAAATAGTGTCTACAACGTTACTGTAAATACGAAACTTCACAGAAATCTTGAAATTTTGAAAAACCACATTGCATGTCATTTGAATCTTTTCTACTCACAAATGTAATAATGTAAACAAATTGCAGGAAATGTGCATATTAAAGACGTGAGTGATATTTAAAAAATACATTAGTTTTTTTTAGAAAACAACAACAAAAGAATACAACAAAAAGCCTTTTGTGCCATCTTAAACAGTAATCCAAACAGATAATTCAAATATTATCGACATGAAAAGAGTCAAATAATTGCATTTTTGTAATTTTTGAAAAAAAAAACAACACCTAAGCAATTTACTGTTAACAGTGAAAATCGGACCTATGCCACCTTTATAAGTGTATTTTACTCTATTGTTACAAGAAAATTAAAGAAAAAAGTGCCATTTTTTAGGAAATTTTGAAAATGTCTTATGGCTTTCATTTAAGGTAATTTTATTAAAAATTAATGAATGTTTTTCAAAATCGCAGAGCTTTGACTTAGATCAGGTCAGCGGGTGTTTCTTCAATTTGGGAAAAATCTTACCAATAGTTTATGCGCTAGTACACTGACACCAGACGGACGGACGGACGTTTTGCTGTCAATCGATTTTTCGGTATCGAGGACCTACAAAACATGGATTCTGTTTTCATCACGTGTTAGAGGATTTTGTTTATAATCCAAATATTCTCCCCATCGAACTTTGGATTTGCATGTCGTCAGGAAACACGTATTCCCAGAGAACATGAACTCGAAACTATCGTACAGTGAAACATTTTATTTATTTATTTACACCTCAAATCCTATATTAGTTTTCCAAATCCCTTTGCATACGAGCCTGCAACTTTACCAAGCGAGTCAATGCAGTGCCTCTGACAGAGAGATCCTAGAATTCGAGTCCCGACGGTAGCAGAATTTTTGACACTAGCTAGACAGCAAGGACGAGTCCAGCCACAGCCTGGAGGAGAATTAAAGCAGCCGGCTACTCTGATCGGTAGTTTCTTCGTGGTTTCTCTGATTAATAACAAGCGAAAGTCGAAACAATATGCTATCAAATGGGCCGCTCTTCCATGTTCTATCCATTCCCCCTACTCCGCACACTCGCTATCATGCACTACACTACCACGCACGTCGGAAGACCTGTCGAAAGCTTTGAGCTTATCCTCAGTAGGCAGTAGTGCTGTAGCGATCTCGGACCGAACGATCGCGGGTTCGAGTCCCGCCCCGGGCATGGTTGTATTGTGTTCGTCCTTTCACGCCCCTATCATCAACATATCGTGTCATCCTGTTACCATACCGTTTACACGCAATAGTGGTCGTTAATGACCTAGTAGTTGATGCGACCTTAAATAACAAAAAAGTGTCATTGTTTTGAATTTTCACCCTTTCCTAGATATTTAACGAAAATATAGACACCTCCCTCATGTCCGGAGACTGCATAGTTTTCTTTTAATTTTTGAAACTTTGCAACATTTTTACTTAGAGAGAAACGCATTTTCCCAAACATACTTTCAGTAATTTTTATCTTCCTGAAATTGTAACCCATTCCCCTATTCTCCCATTTTCATCGCATACAATAACTATTAACAGTGCTTGATTTATCAAATTTTAGGTTCCTAAACGCGCCTCGAATTAATAATTAATTTAATCGAATTAGTTGAATATTTATAATATGATTTCATAATTATTCCCGAGGTGCCGGAACGCCGTTCCGTCGCGTTCCGCCAAAAATCAAGCCCTGACTATTGATCATCTGAGGTCTCCAGTGGGAAAATCCGCGCTGTCCTCTTTGTAGCTTTAGTGCTACGCGTGATATGTTGCAACTCTGTTCATTCTTATAAATCGCTTGCCTTGCTGTATGAGAAAATGTAAAATAAAAATGTTTTTAATATCACTAAGTACATATATTTCAAAGTTATTTCGTAAATTCAATGATTGGGAGTTAGCCATCTTTCGAGAACGCGACCATTCGTATATTTTAAAATGTAATTTGTTTCAAGGTGAGGATTAAAATGGATGATGACACCACTCTAAAAGATCTTCTGGATCTGAATCTCCATCGTTATGAAGACGATGTTAAAAATATTGTGGATAAAGCTGTCAAAGAGTTATCTATGGAAAAGATACTGAAGGAACTGAACACAACTTGGGCTGACATGGAATTCCGTTATGAAGAACATCCTCGTACAAATCGTATGATCCTTGTGTTTGATGAAGAGTTGGTAGAAACACTGGAAGAAAACCAGGTATGTCAAATTGCATCTTCTGTGATGGCAATAATCTATTCCTTGAATACCATCAAGGAAAACTTTTTGAACTGTCTTGAGTGATGATCAGGTTCGAGTGTTTCAACTGCAAAATAGTTATAACTAATAACCAATTTATTGGTGCGAAGTTTGAGGAAGTATAAAAAAAGAATTTTACCTGAGGGCCAGTTGGTAGGATTAGGTTCTAAACTTCCTATCAGAAGTAGTGCAATACCACCAATTAATTTATTTAATAGATTAAATCATCGATTAATACTTATCACTCTGCTTAATGGATTCAATCCTAAAAATTACTCAGCAATGATACAAAGAGTATCACAAAAAGTAGTTAAGAATGCATGAAATATGTTCTAAATAGGTACAACTGCAGAACATGATGAGCTCGAAATACATCGGACACTTTTTGGAAGAGGTATCCTCTTGGCAGCAAAAACTTTCAACCGCCGACATGGTTATCCAGATATGGTTTGAGGTACAAAGAACTTGGTCTCATCTAGAATCCGTATTCATTGGTTCTGAAGACATTCGAAATCAGCTGCCGGAGGATTCGAAACGATTTGAAAAGATCAATCGTGACTTTCTGGTGAGTTATATAGTCCAGTTAACAAAAAAGTTAATAAGTATATTAATGTTCAAAACTAAATATAAGTTGTATGATTTTTAATGTTTATTCAGTGGAATCACTGATTTCAGAAAACCTATATCTTCAACAGACTCAGCCCTTGAAATACAAGTATAACTATATATATGAACATTTATTTAAAGGACTTAATCTAAATAACCAAATGTGCCAAACTTTAAGGAGTTTAATTGATATTATTCAGATTTTCTATTTATTTGTTCAAAACTAAGATTCAGCATTTTCATTAGGTTTTAACGAATTTCTAGAACTTCTGAAAAAAAATTAGTATCTCACTAAACAAAAATATAATATTGATTGAAGTTGTTTTTCATTTTAGGACATTTTGGAAGATATGGCAAAAACCCCAAATGTACTCCAAGGAACAAGTAAGCCACATCTCTACGAGAAATTGGAAGAAATACAAGAAGGACTGACAAAATGCGAAAAAGCATTAACAGAATACTTGGAAACAAAGCGTCTAGCTTTTCCACGATTCTACTTCGTTTCTTCCACTGACTTACTTGATATTCTGTCGAATGGCAATCAACCTGAGCTTGTTGCCAGGTATTTATTAACATATTGAAATTCATACACACTTAGTTATTTTGTTTTATCCATTGAAAAGAGAGAAGTATAAGATATTTGAAAAAGTTAGTCCAAATATCTCCCACCTCATAGTACCATGTTACAAAAATTCCTTCTTCAAAACGAGACTAAGCGTTAAGAATCTTTGAAATTTGTCGTATTACAAAGATATAAAAGGAACTAGTAGTGCTACAGAATGGCACAGATTTTGTCGTTAGCTTCCTTAAGTCTTTATAACTTTACCTTGTGGTTTTAATAACATTATAAAAGGATAAAACGTGTCCTATATGTACCCATTAATTGAAAAATTTTGAGCCGTTTTTAAGAAAATGTCGTTTGAGTATACCTAAAACTCATCAATTTGATGCTCATTTTCACCCGAAACTTACGAATTTGTTAGAAACTTCATACGAAATTATTTGAAACGACGAAACTCACAAATGTGATAACGTATAAAAATGTCTACCATGTAATCGTAACCTGGGAGATATTACAGAAAAATGAAATTTGTGTAATTTTTGAAAAACACAGGTATACATCAAATTGGCATTTTTATATCACGTTATTCAGTGCATTTAGCGCTATCCGTACAAAACATGTAAAGAAAAAGCTTGGAGAAGACTTTGAGAATAGTTTGGGGTCATTTTCGAGAAATACCGTAACGAGTGATTTACGTAACCTGCTAAGCCTTACAACTAGGCAAATGGCACGAACAGAACCGACAAGACACTCTCGAGAACTCGTTTAAAAATAATGTTTACTTCTTAAACGACGAACCGAAGCATTGCAATCCATTACATGACCTACTTCGCTACAAAAGGTAGGAGTAGTTTTGTTCCAACAAAACGAGTCGTCTTGCTTCACCGCGGCTAGTCTGAACCCCCGTGAAGTGTCCTAAACTGTGTCCCTTTCCTAATTCCTTCCCAATTCTGGGCGCTGGGAAGCAGGGTTGCCAGATGCTACGTGCAAACATCCGCCGTTAGATGGATGTAAATCCGCCAATAAAAAAAATTAACTTTCCAAGCGGGGAATTTGAATTTGCATTAAAATAATGGTGTTAGAAGATTTTTTATGATAGTGACCCTATGAAATGCTGGAATAGTTTTATTGTTTTGTTCGTGAACATTGTCATTAATAATAATATTTATGTAAAAACGTATACCTTTTGTTATATCTTAATATTTAAAAATTATTTATGATTATTTTTATTACTACAGCAGATGGGAGAATTCTTTAAATGATAAAATAATTTCCCCACTTTCTCATTTTCATTCTCCTTGCTCCTCTTAAATATCCGCGCTTAAAAATATTACCACAGAAATGCTTACACATGCATGCTTATTCCCTATGGCTTAACGGAAAATGCACCAAAATGTGACTTATTTTAAATGACGTGTTCTAAAATTAACTCCAAGTATTGCCAATGTGATTTATTTTATACTTATGTTGTGCGCGGAAAATGAGTATGATATTTAGAACACACCTATACTAGAGGTCTAAAAAATAACATAACTCACTTCTCAAAGTAAATTTGAACAAATTAACAAATGATTAAGGAAAAATCATGTCTAAAGTAAAAAGTTAAAAATAATAAACTCAGTCAACGTTGTTTTTTTTTTAATATTTCGTCAAAATGAAAACCAGCCCAAAACCGCCCGTTGGACGGAATTCCTAGAAATCAATTTGTCCCGCGAGAGAGCCGTTTTCCAGCCACAGAGGCGGAAATCTGCCCCATCTGGCAACACTGATGGGTAGTGACACAGGGGCGCGTGGTGTAAGAGGCGCGTACGCTGAGATGCTCCAAGGCGGTCCTCTTGACGAACCGAATGACGAGACGGGACTACATAAGTACAGCGCCCTCTGGAATACAGAGGGATAATAATGGAGGATTACTCCGAAAAAGGCGCGCAACTCTCGATCAGAGACTAAAAGACGCGTTGTGTCGATTATATAAAGTATAATTAAGATGATAGGATGCAACAAGTTAAAAAGAAATTAAGGCAAGTGAAGACTCGGGATCTCCCGTTCAACGGCAAACCGCTTCATTCACAGGCTTCTAACTGTATTCAGCGCAATCACAACATCATTTCGGCTGACAAACAGGTAACCGTGAAGGAATTGTCAATGAATGTTGGTGTAGGAAATTGAAAGAAATGCAGTTGAAAAAGGTTTGTGCCAAGTGGGTAACAGAAGATGATGACTCACTTGTGAGGGCTGTGACACGGTAGCTCAGATGTGCTGGCGCAGACTTCTATCGCGCTCTTGTTCCAAGGTGGCGTATGATAGTAGAAAAAGACGGAAACAATGTGGAGAGGTGACTTTTTTCCTTCAAATATGGACCATCACACTGTAAAAATAGCGCAGGTATGGAAAATAAATTGAATGTTCAAAAATTGTTGCGCATTACTTTTGGAATAACCCTCGTGTTATAATTGAAGTGGAAATTTAAATCTCTAAAAGAGTAAACAAAGACAGCTAGGAGAGATGGACACTATTTATTTACTTATCGTAAATGCGAGGTAATAGTGGAAATGGGGGGGGCAGTACCTCTAGAGAACGCCAGGCTGAGCGACACTTCTATAAGAGGGAGACATATGAATACCTCCGAACCTTAACTGCCAGTCGGTGAGTGCTTCTCACTCAGTGAAAGTAATACCTTAGTGACGGTGCGCGATGAGTGACGTGACGTTACCTACAAGATCACCTCAAGCTCAGGAAACGGAACGCCCAGATAAGATGGTAATAAGTTCCTTAAACCCAAATGACGTATGAGTAGTTACACTCTAACATAAAAATCAGATCTTTGAAAGGTTTCTTAGCCCCTGTCCAACCACCCACGTACCACTTAAGCCAATTTTTTTTTTAATTTTTTCGTCATCCTATCACTTTTATATGATTGAAAAAAAAAAAATTTTAAAATATGAAAAATAATAAAATAATTTATACTATTAGAAAAAATTGACATTTTCTCAGCGTCTAATTCTAAAGCAAAAGTGTTTTTTGAAAAAATAATAAAATATAATTTTTCCTGTATCTTAGAAACCTTGAGCAGGCTTGAAAAATCTAAAAAGTTCCCTTCAAAACACAAATTGCTGTGAAGTTTTTCAGATTTTTCTGATAGCTGGGCTATAGTTAAAAAAATTTATTTTGCCATTTTCGTGCCTTTGTATCACTTTTACTTTAAATACATTTTGAAACCGGCTGCAACAGTTCTGTGCATTTATTTTGGTGTTTATTATACATTTGTTGTATCATGCAGCGATATTACTGGGAGTAACTGATGCACAGGAATTACTGAAGGAAAGGTGTCATTCAATTCAATTTATGTGAAAGGTATTACATATCACTCTTAAAATTATTTGTGATAAGGTGAGCTAGTTGGCAAACCCTTCTTTATTTTATTAGGCTGAATCACTTGCCATGATATCTCAATCCTCTCACCTCATTGTGTACAAATCAGCAGCATGTCACCATCACAGTTTTAGTGTTTTCTTTCAAAAGTTCGTCTTTATGATTTGTACTCAGTCTTTGAGTACGAGACGTATTGGAAGACCCTACAATGTAAATGTTTCGTATGTTTCAGACATCTTCCAAAATTGTTTGATTCCATAGCAAAACTAACTTTCACCAAATCAGAAGGTAAAAACACAAAAATATCTAATGGCATGATTGCAAAAGATGGAGAACATGTTCCATTTTATCAAAACTGCGATTGCAGTGGGAAGGTAATATTTTACAAATAAAGAACTAACCGTCAATCCTTGCGAATGTGGAGTTTAAAGTTGGTTTTTGTTCACAGGTGGAAGTCTGGTTGAACCGTCTAACCGACGCCATGAGGGAGACCATGCGTCATTCTTTCGGAGAAGCTGTTGTGAGTTATGACGAAAAACCGCGAGAACAATGGATTTTCGATTATCCTGCTCAAACAGCTCTTTGTGGCACTCAAATCTGGTGGACTACTGAGGTTGGCTTGGCATTTGCCAGTCTAGAGGAAGGTTATGAAAATGCATTAAAAGATTATCAAAAGAAGCAAGTATGTATTGTTTTTTATAATTAAGATAATTCACCTAATGTCCAACAAATGTAAATGTTACCAAATGTCGTATTACTTGTTCAGGTTTTACAACTAAATGTACTGATTAATCTTCTTTGCGGAGATTTAAGCAAAGGAGACCGCCAAAAAATCATGACAATTTGTACCATTGACGTACACTCTCGGGATGTGGTGGCCAAACTTATTGCTGTGAAAGTAGAAAATTCTTCTTGTTTCCAGTGGCAAACACAACTGAGGCACAGGTATTATGAAAATATTACATATGCTCATTAAAATGATCGTTATCACCCCAAAATGCCCTACAACTTGAATGTATAATTCT